AGATACGCGAGGTTTTCAAGTGTGCGTGATGCATTGGTTAATATAGTTGAACAGCTCTGTTGGGCTTAAATACAAACACACATAAATCAAATGTAGAGTTTTTGTTTTCTTAACAATACAAGGCTCCTTCTTCAAGAAACCTAGTGTACAGAGTCGCATTATCTGAGGAAAAAAATCGTTTCCGATATTGCTAGGAATTGTCCTTGTTTCGTAGACGAACAGGGTAAGAAACTCTCGTAACTCTTAAAAAAGTCACCCGCAGAAGAGTTTAATAAAGGCAAAAACTAAAAAGAAAGTGAAGGGTTGAATGTGTTACATGAATCCGAATTGGGGAGACTTTCATTAAATGCAACGAATTTCTTGTAGTTCTCTATTTTCGAGGAACTCTGTCGCGGCAAAGTTTCGTTGCAATCATTTTTTGTATCGTTCGTATAATAGAAAATATCATGCAAAAAAGTGCGCAACTCCCCCCCCCCCCCCCCCCCCGGCCTCCCCCACCACCACCCAGAAAAAAAAAAAAAAAAAAGTCGGAAAACCTTTATTTACGAGACAACCTATGTTCGACAAACGTTTCGTTTCTCCTAAAAAGAAACGGAAGTCGTGGAAGCGACGATATCGCGTCTGATTGGTTATAGGCTCAAGTGACGGAAAGTTCCCTCTTTCGTCATTTGAGCCTCTAGCCAATCAGACGCGTTTATCGTCATTTCCGTTCCTTTTTAGGAAAAACGAAACATTTGTCGAACAGAGCCCCCCAGGATACGAAGAACAAGGGGCGCAGGTCCAATATTTTTCTCCCGCTTTCCTTTTTGCTCTTCTTGCGAAGGAGATTGCAGTGCTCAGTCCACTACTTCGACTTCCTCGTCGTGTTTGCGCTTCTGCTCATCGCAGAGCTACGATGATCCGCTCTCCGCAGTCCCAAAGGAGGCGGTGCAACTCGAAACGCTATCGCATTTAATATCGACAAGTGTCGATCATTGGTCTGCTTCATAATGAACTCGCATATGTTTGGACGTTAAGAACCGCGAGTTTAGAGTAAACTGAAGAATCTCCGTTAACGACGTTGAGTACGTTCATAGAAACTCTCTTCCATAGGTTCACACATTATTCACGGAGTACGTGTCTCTGCCAGCGACCAGCGTACACAAATTCATCAAGATGTCGATTTAGAGAGGTAGCACAAGTGACCGCCTTGCTAACATGCCGAGCGACGTGATTTCTCAGGCATAAATTGCATTAGGCAGTAACCGGAAGAATTCCGAGAAAATGCCCCTAAAACAATTTCGCAGCTCCTAAGTGACAACTCGACAATGTTGAAAAGAGATCAATTTAGTCTTATACGAGCGTCATACGAAAAGTAATGAGCAACATTTTGTTTTTACAAATTATTGCGTTGCGTTACTGAGAACAAAGTTGTGTCGTTTTACTTTGTCGACATCTGTTCATGTTTTCACATTGCTCCTCTAAGTTGTTTGCGCACGCTTATCCCACCAGTCTAAAAATTATTATTATTATTATTATTATTATTATTATTATTTTGTAAAACTTCGTTCAGACTTTGCAAAGACAGTGGTGCACTGCTGCTTGGATAACCTCTGGTGGCTCGTAGCGTTGAACCTTACATCTGATCCTTGAGCTATCCAAACAGAGGAAAGTACGAGGGAGCCAGGGGTTCGGAAGAACTTCCCACACCATTTTATTGATTTCCTTCACTGTTGAGCGAGCACTGAGAGGATGCGCATTATCGTGTTGCCCAACGGGCACACATTTTGCGATAACCTAAGCTTTGAATCATCTCCTGAACTGCGTTGCGTCCTTTATCAAGTATTCTCGCCAATTCGTCGAATGTAGCTCTCCCGTCTTCTTTGACGAATTCATCAACAATCTTTTTGTTGGCCATTCCACTGCGGCTGTCCGACTGCGACGACTCCGAGGCTGACCTTCAATGCCTGTCTGACAGTTTTTCAAACGTCTTATTTATCTCTAAGCTCGCACTCATGAACGCATCACAAATTTGCACGCTGAAGCCTGTGATAAATTTCAACGGCGAGAAGATTTCTCTTACGATTAATTTTATATCGGACGCTGACAAAACGAGACTTGATAGGCGATCATTTTGTTTCGTGTGTTGGTGGTTAAATGATGCAACCTGTTGACGCCAAATGGCAATCAGTGATTGCACTGGAGATGGTGTCACGCACCAAACGTTCATCCTCGTGCTATTTGGCAGACTCAAAAGATTCTTGCACATTACCTGCGATAAGACCCTCGTAATAACTTACGGAGGGACATGGTTTAAGTTCGGGGGGAGGATAAGAACGAAGATGTATAAAACTGACAACTAAGTTGATACTCACCGTGGATATAGCGAGGGCAGTTTTACGTAGTGGGGTACTATCAGAGATGAAGGTTTCAATCTGGAAGGGCTGGTCAGTCCCCAGCCGCGGCGTTCTCGAAACACTGGCTTAGTCAACACCCAAGAGAAAGCTCTACAAAAGCTATCGAACGCTCGCAGAAAACTGCTGTCCATTCCCTGCACCGCGATGCCCTCCGGAACAGGTGACGTTGACAATCCAATGGTCTGGGTGCCTTTGGGATATGCTGGGTGGAAGCCTTTTCTCTGCGGTAATTTCACCTTCCACTCTGTTTTATATATTGGACGCAAAGACATCTGACGGGCAATTTATATTTGTGACTGGGGAATAGCTTAACGGCCTCACCTTAGACCATAAGTAATATCTGTCCTCCTGTTCTTGCTTCGTAGACATCGTGTTTTTATTAATCCTTACTGCGGAGTTTTAGTAGTCCATTTCGGCAAAGCCACGTGTACGACATGCGTCGACCCGGGGAGTTGCGGGCGTTGTTACGGGACTTATCAAAGCGATCCACTAAAACCCCCTTCATGCCGATGACGCGAATTCGCTCTATATCACCGGCAGTTTTTTAATGCTTAGGTTGCACGAGTGTTCGTGCAGCCGAGGCGGGCTTGATATGCTCACGCTCAGTGCCCTTGCTTGTGGCGACCCTTGACCTCAATTTGCCCTTCTGACCAATGGATGAATGGATGAGGCTGAACCTTGTGAATCGGGCGGCGGCTTGGGCCACCTAGTCAGTTTTTTTTTTTCTTCTTTTTTTTTCTGACATTTATTTCACATAGAGTGATATATCTAGATATTTATTCTTAAAGGCTACGATCCGTACGACGGAGGCGCCTCTATGCTACCGGGTGGGAGGCACTCACTTGATCGAATGACGTTTTAGCGAACGCCCACGTTTCACCGAATGACACTTTAGCGAATAGTCGGACGCCGCGAAGCGGCGTTTTCGGGTGGGAGAAATGGATTCACATTTTTGTATTGAGCCGCCGCAGACTGTCGCCGCGAAGCGGCGTAAAGCGCAGCGCGGCGAATGGGTTAACGCGCGCCTCCGTTATTCGCTAAAACTTCGATTCGCTCAAATGTCGCTGTTCGCTAAAATGTCATTCGCTCATGTGATATGGACCCCTACCGGGTGCAGACACCTTCCGCCCTACGGGTCGCCCGGAAGGAAATAAGAAAATATTTATCCTTCCCTCGACCTAGGCCAATCTCTTCTTGGTTATCTCCACCTTCCCATATGTCTATTTTCTCCTCAATATCCCTAAATTCCAGTGCTTTGATAAATTAGCCTCGTCCTCAGGTACTACAGGGTGAAGCCCCTTACAGTAAAGTGCTCAGCCGTCTAGTTTTCCTCTCCTCGAGCTGCACACAACGCATCTACTTCCTGATATCCAGCTATATATGTCTTAGTCTGCCACACCCCCGTCCTCTCCTCGAACAAGAAGGCGCTGCCCCTAGAAGTGTCGAAAATAGGTTGTTTTCTAATGTACTCCTTAAACGATCTGTAAATTTGCAAGGCATATTTAGTCTCTATGCCTGCTTCTTATATTTGCTTTCAGTTTCCTTTGTTTCCTCATTCGCATCCCTGCTATTGCTCATATGTTTAGATCGAAGTTACACCTTCTCCATTTCGTATCGGCGCTTCTCGCGTGTAAATAGCCCATGCGTTACCAGTAGAGGCCGCTTCGGCGCCCTGTGGCGGGGGCTGGGAGAAACCTCCCGGCCGATCAATTATAAAAGAAGGCGCACTATAAAAAAAAGCGGTGTTTTCATGAATGACGTCATCGGTACGACATGTGTCGACCTGTATATCAGGCCTAGCTCTTTGTGTGGGACGATTCTACCACTGCCGTAGTTAGCCCACGCGTTATCGATAGACCTAACTGGCCATGCGTTTACTGAATGTTCAATAAACAGAAGGGGGACTCCACTCCTCGGTTGCGCCATGCATTTGTGTTGAAAACGTAGTCAACGGACTGAACCAGTCCGGTCAGCTTGACTGCAGACCACGTGAAATCCGGTTTGCCGGCAGGTGTAAATAGGATTTCCTACACGCTCTAGTGCTCCCCCAATAACGTTGCTAAAATATGTAGGCCGAATTAGCTTGAAATAGCTGTTTAGCATCCGAACGTAAAGCGTGTGTGCACCGAAGACGTCTTTGGTTGAAGGGTGTAAAAATGTGGCGACCACGAAACAACGTTTGTAAAGAGTACGCGCAACTTCGTGCCTTGTGGGCGGACGAGGACGCCTTTTGATTTTTGTTTGGCGCTCACCACGAAAAGCTGTGGCGTCGCTTAGCCGCCGTCCAAACTCGCGTAGATCGTGTCCTTCTTTGTCGTTGTTCGAAGCATCACAGGGGTAATCGTAGCCCTCTCTTCGTCGCCGTATACCCACCCAGCCATTTAAGACGTGGAGTAAACCACTCTATATGATCATAACGTTCACATAAGAGATGTAGAGTGCTGCATTTTGGTCGCAAACAGGTGAAATATAATTATCAGCCAAGTCTGAACTCGGCTCTCGGACGTTCGAAGAGTCGAAGTGGAGATACCACTTGGGCAAGTGGGAGGCAAGATGAGGTGGGCGTGGTTCGTGGCCCGCAGGCAGAAAGCCAGAGGCGGAGTCTGCTTTGCGCACCCGGTTCTTTTATTTCCAGTCACGCGGTGCAGGCCAACTCGCTGGTGCGTCCGTCGCGCCACTTGGCGGAGTCCGTCGTAAACAACTATGTACACTCACACGCACACACACACACACGCGCGCACGCACACGCACGGGAGAAAAGAGCGGCTGATCGGCCAACTTAAATAATGACACTTCTACGCCGTGACCTAGGAGATCGTTGAACACAAGAGTAAGGGGAGGGTGACGGGTGATCGGGGCGCGGAGAGTGCGTCTGCATGCCGGCCGCGCGCGCGCCGCCGGTCCGTGATGAGAGGGTCTATGTACAGGCAACGCGGGCACGGGCTAGGCCATGGCGCCCACCATGCTGTTGGAGGCGGCCAGCCCGAGGCCCGCCGACGCCGATGGCCCAAGCCCGAGGCCCGAGAGTCCCGCGGCCGAGCCCATGTGCTGCGAGGTGACGAAGGTGCCGCCCATGGAGATGGGCATGTTCATGTTGCCCTGGTGCATGTAGTGGTTCATGGTCATGGACATGGACGAGGCGAACTGGTGTCCCGCGGGCGAGAAGCTCGAGAAGCCCTTGTCCAGGGGCTTGATGCAGTCGGGCAGCGACATGGTCAGGCCCTTCTTCTTCTTGCTCTTGGAGGACAGCTTGCGGTTGCGCGTCTGGATGCCCTCCTTCTTCATCGTCAGCGGCCGGTTCACCTGCGCGCAGAAGCACACGGGTCATTCAAGCAAACTCTCACGCTCGGCATGGCCCCAAGCAGAGATCTACACACCCACTCATTGTCCATAAGCGAGCCTGTGATCACGCGAAAATTCTGGGCACTGCACAAATGGACACTTTGCTTCACCTCAAGAACGACTGCAGCCAAACTTGCAAGTGCAATCGTGCTGTATACTCCCTCTCACAAGCATCTGCACTACTGACAAAGGCATGAGCACGAGCGCGCAGCTTTGGAAAGTGCCTCCTATGCACGAGTTCTCGTATAACCAGAAGCATTCTGCTGAGCTAACTCACGCGCGTGCGCCTTTGTCTTTACTCCAGACATTTGTGAGATGGAGCACAGATTACTCTTGCGCCGCACGAGCACGCGTGTTAGGAAGGCCCAAAAGTCAAACTGGACGTTTTAGTGATTTATACAGCGTAAGGTCGGTCTGCCAGGATGACAGGATTGAACAGGAAGGCCCGTTCAATGCACCAACCTCGCTATTGTAGCTTCAGCAACGTTCAGACTAGTGCCAGTAAATGAGTTACGCTTCAGGGTAACGACCCTCGCCCACCTTCTGGTTAAAATTATGGCTGCCAGTTATCTGAAGCTTTATCTGAAATCATAGGAAACGCTTTCCTCCACAAATGTTTAAACAGTTCGTGACAGAGAAAAGCAATATTACATGAGCTTCCTAGCACCGAATCTAATCCTGAAGATTCGCACCTTTGAATCATGACGATCGGCAGTCGCGTCTGCTCTGCACACGCGTGCATCAAGATGGCGGCGCCCACAACAATATCGGGGAGTAGAGTTCTGCTTCACTGTTTAGTGACACACTAAATGCCCACAATTTACGCGCGAGACGTCAGAAAAGCGCCACCGCTGTGACGTGACATCAAAGGTATGAGTTTGTAGGGAGAACGGGGGAAAGGGGCAAACACGAAGCGCTCTTTGACGTTGCATACGATGCGAGAGTGGCGCCACCTTTCATGTATGTTCTTCAACGACACTCGCTCGATGATATAGCAAGGAGGCAGCACGTGTATTCAGCATTTTTCTTCGCTCAGCTGGAGCATGCGTCAAATTATAATCACTCAAAGTCCGCTTTCACAGCTGTTAATCGGAAAACGTGACTTCCCTAAATGCGCCATCACAACCACAGTGCAACGAATCCCATAGGCAAATGGACGACACGAAAACCATTCGTTTTCCTATCCGCCTGACAACCCCTTCCGCCCGAGTCTCACCAGGATGTCGAACAGAAACAACCGAAAACGGCAATCCTAAGACCCGTGCGGCAGGCTCGCGAAGGTACCTTGGGCAAGCTTGCAGTTTCTCGGTGGTCGAGAAGGAAGCACAAGAGATCCATTCGCGTGCATGCTGCACGTGTTTCAGGCGTGTTTCAGGCTGACGAAGCCCGTTACGAAGGCTTCCCTGCTTCAGTCTGCTTTGGATAAGACCCACTCATCTGCCTCGAAGCGAATCGGCCCTGTACTCAGCCACAGCAGCACACATTTGAAAACATCGCGGGAAAACCTCAAACCTCTTATTCGGCGCAATGCACACATGGTGGATAAGAACACAGTAGAAGCTCAATGCTGGGTCTAGCCGCGCATGCTAAAAGCGCGAGCTAGTTGCTTTGGGTGAAGCGTCAGCGGCTGCACGAGCACTCGTGCAGTGAGTGCTCCAGTCAAGGCAGTCAGGCTAGCCAAGGGTGTAAGGCTAGCACTCGCTCGTTGCTCTCCGCCTGGCTTTCGCCGCCCGTGCGACGATATGTTATCAAAGGCAGTAAGCTCGCGCTCGAGGCGGAGCATCCGCTGGCTTCTCAACCTGTCACCGACTATACACATTTGCAAGAAAGGCTCCTGTGCGCTGCCACTTTCAGCGATGCACGCGCCGCGTAATGTTTACGCAAAGTTGGGGTGCGATAAGTGCGCATCTATGGTGGCTGGGAGGGGAAGTGTGACGGGCTGAAGCCAAGGGCTGCACAAAGTTGCGATGAAAACGACTCGACTGCAAAGTTCCTTCATGCTTTAAAAGTAGCGCAAGGTTCGTCGATGCACGAGGCACATGCAGCGTGCAGACCTTGGGAAGATCATGGCGGCACAGCGCAGCACTGAACTAGATTTCAGACGCCGTGAATTTTTCAGCAGTGGCGCGCTGCACGTATCTCGAGCATTCCCACAACAATGAATGGCGCCACTTCTCCCAGGAGAGAGGCTTTACTCGCCTGCAGACTGCTGCACCCCTCGCGGCGGCAAAGATTTTCATCGAAACACGCGCGCTGCCCGCAGCGCGTGCGTTGAAAGGTCTCATAGCTTCTTTATATTTTGACTCGGGTTCGTGCAACTACATGAATTGCGCACGTTTCACCCGTTAAATGGGTCGTGCGCCTGAATTCCGCGATGAAAATTCCGCGAAGAAATTTTTGAGGACCGCTAAGGGTGCCGCTGCCAGCAGGCGAGTCAGCGGTCCCCAAAACAATCGAGAGATCCTTCATTACAGAGAGTTTCCAGCTGCACGGTCGGGGTCACGTGGTGTACGGGCTGCGTCTGCAATACGAGCGGCGAGGAGGTAACGAACGCCTTGGTCGTCTGCGAGCGTATCAGCCTTTCCGTCTGCTTTCCTTCTCGCCACTCGAAAACGCAGCGCATGCGCACCTGCGACCAACCTTCACCGTTGGCGTCCGCCATTAAATTGCAAACGCTCCCACGGTTTGAAATGAACCCTCTCTAATCTAGGCTCTCTCAAAAATTTCTTCAAACATTTTTTGATTCAAGCACAAATTATAAGAAAAAAAATATTTTGACGCTCCTCTTTACTGTCTTCATCATCCCATCATCATCGTCATAATTCACACGATTCACCTGCACATATTTTCACACCCTCGCTATCATGATTCACCCTCTGTTTTCTCACACTCGAAGAGGCAGCTAGCACTCGGTGTACGCGCTTGTGCCTTTTGGTTGCCTCAGGCCATCGGGTGTCTTTTCGTTCAGCCAAGAAACACTTCGAAGGACGACGTACAACCTCGGTTTTCTGCCTTTAAGGTAATCCTCTTAGCTCTCCCCTCTCCTAAGCCGCCAGGGAAGTCAAGTTGGGGTGAGGTAAAAAGTGGAGAGGATACAGGATAGAAAGAGGCGGGCAAAAGGGAAAAGCGCGAAGAGTACGTCGGTCTTTAATGCGAATTGTGATGTTTTCCTTTTTTTTTTTTGCCCATTCCAGGTCTGTCAACTACGTGGTTGAAGACAAGAGTAAGCGGAAAAGCTGTCTTCCTGGTGCCCCATGCGTGCAAGCCTATACACAGCGTGCGTGCGAACGTAGCTTTAGCAAGCTTGCAATTGCACATATACTTGCCCGCACGAGCGGAACCATGGCGGCCCTACTCGCAATCGTCTATAGTCGGAATATAGTTAAATTCATTCATCCATTCGTTTATTTCATATTAAAGTAACCTTAAGGGCAGTGCATAATGGGCATTCGACGCTTTGTGCGTCAAATGAAATGCCCCTTTTAAATTTGAGGGTTTTCAATGTTCGCTCATATCGTTCACCCATCACTCTCCCGCTGTCGAGAGCTTTTGCTCTCGCCGCCGAAATGACGCGAAGTAAAAGCGCTCGATGCATTACCGCGAACGCGTTCCGACCTGCGCAGCTTGAAGCCCCGACAGATCTTGGCCTTGGTGTCGCTACCCCGTGGGCATCATCAGTGGGCGACCGCAGCCCGCGTCATTGACCGGAATCGATACAAGTGCGCCACGTTTGTCGTCGAGGGCCTCGGCCCAGCTAGAAGAGAAGGCCTGGCCATGACGTCATCGTTGGTGGCTTCCCAAGGCTCAAGCGGCTAACGCGAGCTAGGCTGCGTTGGCTGGCTCCACTAATGGTGAGGTTTCTTGGCGCACCTGGAAGGGGCGCCCGGCCGCGTCGAAGCCGCGTCCGTGAGGGAATGCGCGGCATCGGCCCGCTCCAAGGCCGGCCCGTGCGCGTTTTCCACGAAGCCGCTCGCGCTGGGAACGGATGCGTGGAGCCCAATAAAGTGCCGGCCGGCGCTTGTCGGGGATCGGCGGTCGTGGGACAACGGCAAACCGCGGCCCTCGGCGCTACCTGGCGGCGCCTGCCTCTCCGGACCGGAACGCGACATTGCGCCCGCTTTGTTCTCGTCGCCGACACAGCGCGGCTGCATGCAGATGAGGGGCGGCCCTGCCTTTGGGCACGGACCGCTGCCCCGGCCTTTCTTGGGCGCCGCCGAGCAGCGCGGTCCCTTTCTCACGAGAAGGAGGACATTCCTGTCGAATACCGAGTGTTGCCGAGTTAAGACCACCCTGGCAATAGCACCGAGAAGGCCTTTTCCCCCCGACGTCATCGCTAGTGGGCCCAAGCAGCGCCGCCTACCTCACGGCAGCATCGCCACAGCGCGTCTCGCAGCGTCCCACGAGCCACATGCTAGCGGGTGGCGACGCTAAGACGCACGGGTCTATTGCTTTGCGCCAGCTTCAGCGAGGTTGGCGCTGGGGCGGGGATCCAAATGACGTCACGCTCGAGCCTTATGTTAGCATTGCACTACCTCGCCGGGACCTGTCGAAAGCGGACACTGCGTCGCCGCGACGCTCTCTCGTGCGCACACCGTAAGGACTGTGAACGATGGAAGATCTCCGAGAATACCCCGGAGCGACGATCGACGTTTAGCCACGAAAGCTGTAACGGAGTCCTTGTGAGCTTCGATACGCCGCTATCATCGACAGCACGGAACCGAGCGAATCGAAAGCAATCGAACAACCATAACCCCCCTTCCACCCACCCCCCCCCCCCCAAAAAAAAAAAAAAAGCAAAAAGGGAATCCTAATTTTAGCAGTTCGTGCCCGCGCGCACGCGTTGAAACCAACAGTCTGCAGAAAGGCGACGGGCGGGGTGTTGTAACAGGAGAGAAGAAGAAGCCTGCTGCCTATGGAAGTCGGAGCTGTTGGGGAGGGGCTCACGAGCAGATCAATTGGAA